CTTTTTTTTGCTAAGTACTGTCTAATTACTTAGTTATTTTATATGCATGGGAGCTTGGTTTGTAATTACCTTTGTTTTGTATTTCTAATTTTTGCTAAGTACTGTCTAAGTACCGTCTAATTCAAGATGAACCAACTTTTATTTTGTATTTCTAATTTTGTACTTGAAAAGTTATGATGCAATTTCAAAGTGTTTTAAGCATAACCGATGTAATCGATATCCGAACCGAAACCCAAAAATACCCGACTTTCTAATATCCGAAAAAAACCGATATCCAAACTACATGGGTTGGGTTCTATAATTACATTATAAAACCCGAACGGGTTTGATGTCTGCAGACCCGACCCGCCCGAACCCGACCCGTGCTCTCCCCTAGTTGTGATATTAGCTTTCGTGTAATAACACATTGCTCATTATTAGACTTTTTAGTATTCATTAAAATTGGACTACTGCTCATTAACAGTACACTAATGCTCATGTAGCTGAAATCACGATCTTCACTAAATTTACAAAATTGCCACCGGCTGTACGGCTTGCACCGTACAGCCGGGTGTACGGTTTACGCTTCCTTTGGTAATTGGGCTGAAGCGGATATGGGCGATTCAGTTTTTGGATCGGCTCCAACCGGATATGTTCTAGAAGCTAACAACTGCCCACGCGATTCATACCTACCTAACTTGGATTTTTGGATTGATCCAAACCGCTGCAAGTAGAAATCAGCCTAATAATGTACTACATGCGTCATCATGGATATACATATTTTTAGAAATAACTCAGATAAGAGTGAGATTGGTAATCGAAGTTGCATAAAAAGGGTCAAATAAGTCTTTATATGAGAGGTTCTGTCCGGCCGTCGCCATTTGGGCAGTTCCCGGTGGAATTTTTTGACGAAATTTTTTGAACATCTTATTCTTTAAGTCTTGTTTACTCATACCAAATTTCAGTTAAAACTTCAAATCGGGAAGACATTCAAATGAATTCTTGAAGATAACTACGTAGTTATCTTCAAGAATTCATTTGAATGTCTTCCCGGTTGAATTTTAGCCGAAATTTGGTATGAGTAAACAAGACTTAAAGAATAAGATGTTCAAAAAATTTCATCAAAAAATTTCACCGAGAACCGCCTCAAATGGCGACGGCTGGACAACAAGAACTTATTTGACCTTTTTCATGTAACTTCAGGTACCAATCTGACCCTTACCTCCATATTTTTATGTTTTACTTTTCATGGAAGGATAACCTTTATACGAAGTATTTATAATTTTATTTTTAATTAGACTGATTTGGGTACCACTAAAAGACTTAATTAAGAATATTAAATTAGAAAATTACAGTCCAATTAAAACATTTTAGGTATACCCAAAGTTTTTAGATCCCCGATGATTAGTTATGTACTCCGTAGTGTTTAGGCCAATTTTTAAAGCTTAGAAGTGTTTTAAGTCCATATAATATACTCCGTAATGCTTCTTGGATAATGTTTCATCGATCATATCAATCTCCATTTGATAAAAAAAACTTTGGCCAACAGATATCATCCCTTCTTTTTCATGTCATCCAAAAAATATGTAATTTTATTTTTTGGAGTGTCGTTAGTCTTTATTTTGAAAATGTGATTGATTACCTTTACAACATTTTTGCTCCATATTAGCATTCAGTATAGTTTAGGATCAAATCAGACTAAAAATAGAAAATTGTAAGATATCAATAACATTTTGACTAAACTTAGGATGTTTTCTTTTGGACTGTTTTCAGTCCCAGACCAGACCAGACCAGACCAGACTTAAATAGACCAGACCAGACTTAAACAGACCAGACCAGACCAGACTTTCGTAGTTATAAAATACACAGAGACCAGACGTTTACTAGACCAGACCAGACCAGTTCAGACCAGACCAGACCAGACCAGACCAGACCAGACCAGACTTAAACAGACCAGACCAGACCAGACCAGACTTAAACAGACCAGACCAGACCAGACCACCAAATTTCAATCCAAAAGAAATCATCCTTAAACAAATGGTATTAGTTGACATTTTAATTTTCTATACAATATACGAAGTACGGAGTACACGTAGTAAGGTTTATTTATTTTTCCATGGTCTTGTCATTTTTAATTTTGTTTATAGTAAATTTATAAGTGTACAGTTGGAAACCGTAAAATCTCATACGATGACGTTTTTATCATGCACAGTTAGGATTTGCTTCATACAATATGTTATGTGAGTTTTTTTTGTTGCTGAAAATGTAAATTTATTTTGATAACAAATTCTTTAATCTATTTTTAGTACAAAATGTATATTTTTGATGATATATGAAATTGATACCGTTGGATTTCTATATTATCACTATGTTACATTCATAATTTTCTTTTTTTGTTAGTGAACATGACATTTGTTTTAGTATTTCATTCTTCAGAAATTGTCCTAAATAAGAATAAAAACATTTTGAATTTCTAAAATAGGACTATCATGTTTTTTATTCCTTGAATATGAGTAATCTGCCAAGTTTGGAAAAAATGCCATGTTTAAAGCCTAGTAATGTCAAACTAGGTAGAAATTTACCTCTATTCAGGGAATAAAAAAGGGGTTTTTACAAGAATATAACTAAAATAAAACTTATTTACATAAATATAATTATTCATTACTATAAGGTGGTGTTGTAGTAACTTAAGTTCAAAACTTGAACATTAATTACTATGATTTCATTACTACTCTAGTAACTAATCATATTTTTGTAAACCGTCTTTATTTTGGTCATATTCATGTAATTATTTCAATAAAAAAACATGATAGCCCTATTTTTCAAAATGGAATTTGAAAACGTTTTACTCCCATTTAGGGAATTATCTCTTCATTCTTCCATTTTGCACAATAACTACTTCCACTCTTGCTCCACCTCATGCTTTTTAAATACGTACTACGTAGCTTTAATAATATATGTGTACACTTGTTCTCAAGTAGTAATGTGCATGGAATTTGTACATGAATAATTTTTGTGTGTGTATTATTCTTTCTGTTCCTCAAACGTAACATTTGTCAAATTTAACTGACACGTGAAATAATACAATAAAAATTGTAGAGTTAATGTTTGTGCAAAGAAGAAAAAAATACCATGAATCATATATAAATTCAATGATTCAAAGGGAAAATGAAAAAAAAAATTGAACAACCAAAAAGAGAAAAATGACAAAGATATAAAAGACGCCAAAAGTATAATTTATCAAACTGTGATAACAAAAAACTAAAGAATATTACTTTTACTGATCCCTACACTACAAAATCAAATTGAATGATACCCGAAGAACTTAGTGAGTGTATTAAGAATCTTGATAGAGTATATGAGTTCGAGCCTACATTCCACATACTCATAGGTATACAAATTACCATGCAGCTACTGCACAACCCATCTCGCATGTGCCCCTCCGTCAAACGAGGCCCGTCAACACGAAAGTCTCCAGAAAATTGTGAATTCGGGATACAAAGTGAATCAGCTTCTTATCCATACAAGCCCCTCGGTCTGGACACCTCATCCTAGAACATCTAGCAGATAGCACCCACATTGTTTTATGCTTATTAGAGAGTGTTTGCAATTGCTTCAACTTTAAAAAAGTGATTTTTTAAAGTGATTTTGGGAAAAGTGATTAATAGTAAAAGTTGGTAGTGTTTGAGAAAAAAGTGATTCTGAAAAAGTAAAAGTTGGTAGTGTTTGGTAAAATAAGTACTTTTTGTGTAATAGAAAAAGTGAAAAGCAGTTTAAAGCACCCTTCCACCCGCTTCCAGCTTTTAGCATTTAAGTGATTAATTTAAGCAGAAGCTGTCATTTGAAAACACTCTATTTAGCTTTTTTAAAGTCAAAAGCTGAAAAACACTTTTTTTAAGCAACCGCAAACACTGCTTTAGAAGAGTTCGCCCTGTGTATTAGCCACTCAATGGGCCATTATTGTAATAAAGCCTCTCAGGCCCAAGCTTAAGAGTCCGAGCCACATTTCTCCTATAAATATCCCAGGGATAGGTGTAAGAGGTTAAAAAAATCATCAATACCAGATATCTTGTTACCATATCAGTTTACTAAGGAGCTATGAAACTTGTTACCATTAAATTGATTTGTAAAGTTAGTGAAATGACAAAATTGACTCAATTTCTTGAATTATAAAAGAATATTTAAAATTTATGAAAATGGTTAAAATATTCCTCTGCAACAAACTCAATCAATTCAATGAATAAGTATTTCAGCCCCAGCAAATTGTTACCTAACTTGTATGAAAATTGTTACCTAACTTATTTTTACTATTGCATAATTAAAAGAGCAAATAAAATTTAGCATTTAGTTAAAAAGTTATCTGCTAAGGGAAACCAGAGCCTACAAGACGGGCATTGAAAATCATTATAAATTATGTGAGCTCAAATTCTCAATGGGATCTATAATCGATGCTTTCACGCTAAATTTAAAATAAGTCTCTTATATAAGGTACCACATACATTAAAACAAGGATTTAGAAACATGACATTTTTACATCGTTTGTGTAGATTCATTTAACATCCATTCATTGGGCATTCAAAACTTAGGCATTTATTGTACAAATTTTACGATGCAATTGATTAGTGTCTATTGAAACTATTTGAGCAATGGGTAATTTGATGTAAGAGGAATTTACCAAAGAGTTTTCTTCTTGTACCCACTTTTATACACACATTTGTATATTTGTCTATGTACACAGACAATTGGGGGAGAAATGATATTTTCTTTTTAATGAATTGCTTGTGTACACAGACAAAATGAGGATGAGTACAAAAATGGGTCCAAACATATTTTTTGTTTACCAGTAGTGGGGTATAACGTACGAAGTATATATAAGTTGCCAGAAGAGGAAGGAAGGAAGAAGTTGGCAATGACCAAACCCAAACCCCACTTGGGATAAGCTTTCATTTCTCACCTCACTTCTTGGAGCTTTCTAACCTAATATCATTATCTCCACAATCATTCATCGGCAAAACGGTACAGTGTGGCCCATTCGGCCCACCATCACCGAACTAAAGATAAGAAGGCCCCATTTGGTCCAATCGCGAACCTTCAAACGGTTGAACCCATGTTGTAAGTGTCATGTTTTTAACGTTCAGCGATTGTATATCACCATTGCTCTACTTTCATGTTATAGGCCTGTTTGATAACTCAACTTTGTATCAATTGTTTGAATCTGTCAAAAGTGGTAAAATTATAATTGAAGTAGTTGAGTTATATTGATTTCGCTGAATTGTGAAAAAAATATTTAAAATATATATTACTGATATAATAGAAAAAATATGATATGAAAATATAACTACAATAATCACCTTCAGCAATTTAAATCAATTCAGTCAGAAAAATAACTTCAAGAGTACTTATTTTGATTATTACGACCACATTTGGTAAACTCTACTTCCAGCCTATGAGACAACTTTTTCATCAAACACACAACTTTTAATTTTGCGTGTTGAATATTGAATAAAAATAAGTAAGGTTAGAATAATTTGTCTGACTGAATTTGTTGAAGTTATTGTAGATGACCATTTTAGGAATTTATGTACATACATTTTTTCTTTCTTAATTTGATGAAGTACCGTAGATTCAGTCAATCCTAGTGTTAACAAACGAGTTCTACACAACTCAACGCATGAAATCAAAAGTGACATGTATTTAAGTAGTTGACTTATAAAACTGATAAACTGAATATAGAAGTTAAAGCTCTATTCTAAGTATTATCTCCCGTTCTTTAAAAGTTGCAACAGTTTGACTTTCACGTTTGCCAACATATAACTTTGACTGTAACTGTATTTAATTACATATTAGTAAAATTTAAAAAAAGATTATATTTTGAAAATTACATTAATAGAAATTTAATAACATTTTATACATAATAATTTGATTATATATATTATTAGAAAATCGTAGTCAAAGTAAGGTGTGCGAATAGTGTACAAATCTGAATATTGCAACTTTTAAAGAACGGATGAAGTGTATCATATCATATGTATTCTCACAAATTATATTTATATTCATACTTCTAAAAAAATTGCTTAAAATTTTATTGTTGAGAATAGACATTGTTTATACGGAACGAACTAACGGAGTATTATCCAACTTGAGGGTATCGCACTATCGGGGCATTAGATAAATCAGATGGAGTCAACTACCTATTTATTTCATTTGAATTTGATGATTTGATAAGTGATTTTAATTTGTATTTGACTAAAATTTGAACTTAAAAATGATTCTATATTCGAATTAGTTACATTATATATTTGATTAATTATATTTGAGTATTCACATTTTAATATACAATTACTTTTTTCCTTATTATATATATATATATATATATATATATAGGGTTTTTTACAACAATATTACTAAAATAAAACTTATTTACATAAATATGACTATTCATTACTACATCGTAGTGTTGTAGTAACTTAAGTTCAGAACTTGAACATGAATTACTATGATTTCATTACTACTCTAGTAACTAATCATATTTTTGTAAATCATCTTTATTTTGGTCATATTAATGTAATTATTTCATTATATATATATATATTTACGTGGTAGTATTGATTACAATTTTTAATATACAAATTATCAATTCCGTAAAATCACATTTCTTTCCTTTTTGTTTGATTTTTCACAATGGAATATCGAGTAAGAAATTAAAGGGTGATTCTAAGAACTTACCCAAAACTATTTGGTAATTCTATTTACAACCATCATATTAATATTAACAATGAACAACTTAAATATTATAGAATATTAATCATTTTATTTAAAATACCTAATTCGAGAATTTAATAATAAAATAAATTATTTCAATGGATTCGACATTAACCATCCTATGTTTAAGATCGATACTAGTTTGACTTATTGAATCCCATAGACGAAATAGCATGTACTTACCGCGATAGAATTTATATTGTAAAGTTTTTGAAATTGTATTCTTTGATTAAAGAAATAATTAATTAATAGATTCAGAGTGTGATAGTAATCACATATGAATTATATAAAATTATTAATTTCAATTATGATTAGTAAATAAGATCTCCATATCTTATACATAAATTAGTAATAATATAATGAAATATATCGATTCTAATATATATTATATAGTTAGAGACATAAATTATTATTAATATTAATGCCATTTTCTGGTCTCCACTCATCATGCCTATTTCAGCCGGCGTGTAAAATTTCATGCATAAGTGAGCCCGGGAGATGATGACCCCCAGATCTTCCAATAGAGGTCGGCCCAGAATGGCCTTGTAAACGCTTGACAGTTGCACTACCACAAAATCTGCTTCTACGATTTGCACACATGGCTCTGATTCGAGTTGAATCTTGAGGGTGATGACTCCCTCTGACTCAATCACGTTCCCGGTAAAACTTGAGAGGGGGGTCTTTACTGGTTTCAGAGCTTCCTTCTGGAGGCCGATCTCCAGAAAAATGTCCATGTACATTATGTTGACTGAACTGCCATTGTCTATGAACAATTGCATCCATAACTTCCATCTTTATTACTAGAGCATCCTTGTGGGGTAGAGGACAAAGTGGAAGGTCGTCATCTGTGAAGACGATAGATTCGCGCTTCTGCTTCTTGCCAGCAGGAAAGCAGTTGATCTCTCCGATGAATAACAGGAGGCTCCACTTCTTCCTCTCCCATGCAGTGTCTCCTCCCACAGGTCCACCATAGATTTGGTTGACATGTGGATGTTTCTGTCGACCAGAATCCTCCCCTTCCTCGTCATCCTCGAACTGGGCTCCAACCTCTCTCTTCTTAGAGTTTGAGGTCGGCTCGTCTTTTCCTTTGTTCCAGGTGTTCCTCTTCTGAGGGAGCTGTCCCTGCCGGATCTTCTTCACGAACTGATCTAACTGCCCTTCACGAATGAGCCTTTCCACATACTTTTTTAGGACATAATAGTCGCCAGTTTCATGAGTATTGCTCTTATGGAGCTTGCAATTTTGTATCAAGCTGCAATTTTGAAATTGAAATATCATAAAGGAACACTCACATGAAATAGATATAAAAAAAGATTAGGTCAGATCAGAGAAGGTACAAAAACACTTTGTAATATGAATGGTAAAAATAGGATGACATCTCATCTCTGAAGGCCTTAAAATTGGCTGAACAATTATCTAGAACAATATAAATTAAAATTTAATCATACAGTAATAGAAAGAGAGTGAAATTACATCCAATCTTTATTGGAAATGGAATGTGGAGAGCTCTACATTGTGACTCCTCTTCCTACCGGGTGAGGTATAATGTGAACTGCATGTGAAGGTATGCCCGTATGGAGAGCTCTTCAATTTTAAAGGCGTGAAGGTCAAAGTCAAACTTAGGACAATACAAGCAGTCAATTTTGAATTGGTGATAAGAAAATCAACTTTAATTTATCACATGCCGGCGTAACACGTAAGTATTCTTTTTATTATCTATTTATTTCATTTTATTTTTGCACCCTCTCTTCATTATTTCTTGCTATAAATAGGAGTATTATTTAAGGTGAGAACTCCGGTACTCATTTAAAAAATGGGGTACCGTACCTACCACTCACTTGATTGGTCCAAATAGGTATTGATGGAGTATATGGCCCGGGAACCCCCGGCCCACAGACTCCCACTACTCCAACACAGGCCCAAGAGGCACAAGAGGCCCAAAGCACAGCGGCCCAAGCTCAAAGGAGCCCACGGTGCGCCTGGGGTAGCCTTCGGCGATATGGCTGAAGGCTCCAAAACTCACAGGACAGCCAGATTTGAGCATACGAAGCTCCTGAGAGAAAATGACAGAAATCAAGAGCCTTCGGCACTTTCGTGCCCTCCGCATCAGGGAAGCCTTCGGCTACACAAAGCCCTCGGCCGCAGGGAGAGCCTTCGGCTAACAGCTCAATCATCGAAGATTCCCTTTGGAGACAAACAACCACCGCATTTAATGTGGCATCACGTCCAACCACCGCATTTACCACGGTGCACATGCGAGTGCCGGTGCCACCCCGATTGAGATGACCCTTCGGCCGTCAGATTACTGACACGTGTACTCTCATCGCATTTATTGCTGCTATAAATAGCAGCCCCTATTCGTCTTGTAAAGGACCAAAACATCTCGAGTTCATTAATATACTCGACTCTCGCTTATTTATTTGCTCTGACTTCTCTCTAGGTTATTCTCGTAATAACCCCTCGGATAAGTTACCCCCCGGGTACGCCATCCATGAGGTATATCATTTTTAATTTAGACTTAAATAATTCAACTGCAACATTCTGATTGGTCCATGTGGACAAAAGGTATGGTACCTTATGGGTACCATAGAATCTATAAGTTTGTTGGATCTCAACACCATAAGTTTATCGATAATAACCCTCCGATTGGGAACTATTGTTATGGCTTCTATAAACAAAGTTGGCTTCTTGGCCCTCTTCCTCGTGTGTGGTACGTCTGGACTGTGGAGAGAGTAGTAAACTCTTAAAGACTTAAACATGTTTCTTTTCGTATATATTTTCCTTTATTTAGACTTTAGTATATTATTATTGGTCATGGGGGTTTTTTGGGGTTTGGATGCTAGAGAAACAACAGAAGATTTTAGTTTTTAAACTTAATTGAAAACAAAAGTTTACTTTAAAACAGGACAAGAGTTAGTTATACATATAGTATTTAAAAACACTTTCTTAAAGTATGACTCATTCACCTCTCATAAGTGCCTTGTACAGTTGTCAACTTATTCGAACTAAATAAGTTATACTCCATGAACAAACATGCTTACCATGAAATTTTTTTGGTGAAGGGATGTAAACGCAAAACGTGCATGCATATATCATTTCTGACTATTTAGGAAGAGTAAAACACTGCCTATATATAAATACTCATGCACGTATTATATTAATATAGAAGAAAAAGTCAATGACGATCATATATTGGGAAATGGTTGATGTTTTAGTCACACGAGAGATAATTTTCTCAATATATAAATAATCCCTGTATATTTTGTATGAGGCATGTATTTTATTGCTGGAAAATAACATGGAAGAAGTTAATGCTCAGATTTGCACTCAGCAATGCGAGCCTAAGGCAGACTATAGGTCCATAGGATGTGCAGAGATGATGATAAGAAGATTAAGCCTATTTGCAGAAATTGTTGTCAAATTCGAAATAACGGCCGCGGGTGTCATCTCTACACTTCTAATGGCACTCGCATATGTTAATCTCTCATATGCAATTAATTACTTCCATAATTACCGGACACTTGTACTAAACAACAATATCAACAATGGCAGATAATTCGATCATAAATGCATGAGTTTATATATTGTTCTATTATAGGTATTGTGGTATTATAAAATAAAGGGAGATTTCTAAATTTTCATCCGTTAACTTTCGATTGTGATATTATAGGTATTTTTTTACTCCAGGGGGGTCTAGGGGAGAGGGGGTGGAATTAGGGATGGACTCAACCGGGCCGGCCCGGCCCGGAACCGGCCCGGCCCGCCACTGTGCAGGCCCGGCCCGGAACCGGGACTGGTGAACCGGTTCGGGCTTTGACCCGGCCCGGGGGGGTTTGGCGGTTCGGGTCCGGTTCATTTGTTTGGTGGCCCGGCCCGGCCGGTTCGGGCCCGGGTCGGGCCTAACGGTTACTTTTTTAAAAAAAAAAAAAAAAAATTTGTTTTTCAGCCAAACAGGCCTTATGGCCGTTGGCTTTCAACCCAAACGGCTCTATAGCCGTTGGGAGCCTTCCAGGGGGTCCCGGGTTGGGGGGTGGGGGGTGGGGGGGGTGGGGGGTGGGGGTGGGGTACTAAATATCTATAAATACTCCATTTTTTCTATACACTTTACTACACATCTTCTCCAAATATCTCTACTCTCTAAATCTCTAATCTCTATTCTCTATTAATCTTTCCCATCTTCATCTTCTCAATTTCTCAAATTTATTACTACATATATTATATTTATATAATTTATTATCTACTTATATTAATATCTAATTATTATATTATTGTTACTTATATAAGTATATTTATTTACTTATATTCACATATTACATATACTTAATATATACTTATATTAGTTATACATATATTAAAGTATAATATATAAGTGTATTACTCAACTTATAGTAATATACTTATATATTAAAGTATAATATATAAGTGTGTTAGTCATCTTGTAGTAATATTAACATAATATTATCTACTTATTATCTACTTATAAATATATATTTACTACATATATAAGTGTGTTAGTCATCTTGTTAGTCATCTTATATTATATATACTATCAACATAATATTATCTACTTATTAATTTTGTTTACACACTAATACATTCTTCATTAATATAAAAGTTGTTAATTGTTTCACTTATCATTTTAGACTTTTAGTATTAGTTCATTGCTATAAAAGTGGTTAATTGGTAGTTGTTAGTTTATTGGAAATAGTTACATTAAAAATTGTTAGACAAGAATTCGAAATTAATTGTTTACTTGTTAAACTAGTTAATTGTTACATTTCTTAATCTCCTCTAATACTAGTTAATTGTTACATTTATTATTCTCCTATCAAACATTCCCATTAATTTTGTTTACACACTAATACATTCTTCATTAATATAAAAGTTGTTAATTGTTTCACTTATCATTTTAGACTTTTAGTATTAGTTCATTGCTATATAAGTGGTTAATTGGTAGTTGTTAGTTTATTGGAAATAGTTACATTAAAATTTGTTAGACAAGAATTCGAAATTAATTGTTTACTTGTTAAACTAGTTAATTGTTACATTTCTTAATCTCCTCTAATACTAGTTAATTGTTACATTTATTATTCTCCTATCAAACATTCCCATTAATTTTGTTTACACACTAATACATTCTTCATTAATATAAAAGTTGTTAATTGTTTCACTTATCATTTTAGACTTTTAGTATTAGTTCATTGCTATATAAGTGGTTAATTGGTAGTTGTTAGTTTATTGGAAATAGTTACATTAAAATTTGTTAGACAAGAATTCGAAATTAATTGTTTACTTGTTAAACTAGTTAATTGTTACATTTCTTAATCTCCTCTAATACTAGTTAATTGTTACATTTATTATTCTCCTATCAAACTAGTTAATTGTTAATTATATTATAGTTGTTCGAAAATTTATCTACTTAATATATTAAGTGTATTCCTCATCTTATAGTCATATATTTATATTATATATACTATAAACATAATATTATATATTACTAGTTAATCTACTTATTATCTACTTTTAAATATATATATTTACTTTATCTACTTATACACTTAATATAAAAGTAGTTAAATTTCTCCTATCAAAATAGTTAATTCATTGTTACATTTATTATTCTCCTCTAAATTTCATTGCATTGTTACATTTAATGTCTAGTTAAAATTTCTCCTATTGAACTAGTTAATTGTTATTTATATTGAAGTTGTTCAAATTTTATAATAAAAGTTAATTTAATTGGTACATTTTAATTGTTACATTCTAGTCAATTTAATTGTTCGAATTTAATTGTTACATTGTAGTTCGATTTGTTAGATTTGTATTTGAAATTCACTAGTTTAATTGTACTTCGAATTTAATATTTGTTATATTTTTAAGATGGAACGTGGTAGAGCTTCAGTAGATATGGGTAACCTCCGCCGCAACCGAACAAAGGAGATTGCGAGGAATCATCCAAGCTTGCAGAAAGGTAAGGGACGGGCCGGGGCTTCATCTCAAACCCGAGATGATTTTGATGCGGATTATAACCAAAGATATGGGTCTGCGATGTCCGATGAGCAAGTAGAACAACTATTACAACAAAATCAAGGGGCCTTCTTCCATCAACAAAACATCCCGACCATTGACGAAGAAGAGCTCGAGGATGATGATGCGGAGGAGAGGGATCCGCAAACGGTCGAGCACGAGGTTCATGGCACACCGTACGATGATGAAGAGCAAGCGGAAGTGGCTACTTCTTCCCAAGGCGGTGAGAAAGCTGAATCAGTCTTTAAGGCAAATTTTACAAAATTTAAAGACCCCCAAACCGAGATATGGTACGCCACTTGCAAACATTGCCCAAAGAAGTATAACTTGGGAACTTCTGGAGGGTACGGGAGCGCCACAAGGCATCTTAAGGCCAAGCACCCGGCGGAATATGCGAAATCAGACAAAGGCAAGGGAAAGCAAACACAAATTTCAAGATTTGGAAGTGGCCAACCCTTCGGTAATTTCTCCTATGATGATCAAAGACATTTGACTGGTATGTCACATTTGATTGTTGAAGAAAATTTGCCTTTTATTTTTTCCGAAAGTCTTGCTTTAAAAGAATATGCTCAAGGTACTTTAAATCCTCAATTTCGAAACTATAGTCGCAAAACAATTAAAAAAGAAGTTATAAGGCAATATGTTTTGGAAAAGGAAAAATTACAAATATTTTTCGCAAACTTTGATGGCCGTGTTAGCATATGTAGTGATATATGGGAGGATACTCATCATCATTTATATTATTTGGGTTTGACTGCACATTATATTGATGATGATTGGTGTATGCATAAACGTGTTCTTGCTTTTCGTGAATTTAATGATCGACACACCGGCGATAATATTTATATTCTCATTGAGCGTATTTTAGTTGAGTATAATTTGATTGATAAGGTGTTTGCTATTGGTTTTGATAATGCTACTAATAATACTGCGGCTATTCCTAGATTGCGTGAATTGTGTGGTTCATCTTCTTTGATGGGTAGGTTTTTTCATCAGCGTTGTGCATGTCATATTTTAAATTTATGTGTAAAGGACGGTCTTGCGGCGTTGGGAGATGCTTTGGAGGTGGTCAAGGGGGGGATTAAACTGATTTGGGCTAGTAATCCACTTAAGATGCAATGGAGAAATTATTTGAAAGAAAGACGTGTCAAATATTGTGCTTTTCCTAAAGATTTGTCTATTCGTTGGAATAGTACTTATAATTTAATTAAAGTGCTTATTAGATATAAAAACCATTTTCCCGCTTTTTTAAGAGAATATGCTAACTATATTATAAACCCGGCCGATATCGACACTTGTGAAAAAATTGTGAATGTTTTGGTGTTTTTTAATAATGCCACTGAAACTTTTAGTCATGTTTATAAACCTACCGCAAACCAATTTTTTGTTGAAGCTGTTAATCTCGCCGGCGCTTTTTCTGAATTCTCTGACGCCGCTTACGTTAGTTATTTTTGTGACTTCATGAAACAAAAGTTTTTAAAATATTATTCCTATATTCCGCATATATATGGTATTGCATTTGTTCTTGATCCTCGTTTTAGACTTTATTCTTTGGAGAAATGTTTAGATTACTATTATGCTTCTTTTTTTGGTCCATTGCCTATGTACGACGACAAGGCCATAGACCCTAAACAACAATTCCAAGAGGTTAGTAATTTATTATATCAATTATTTAATGAGTTTCATGCACAATATGGTAACGCACCCCCTCCCCCGCCACGAACATCTTCTTCATCTAAAGGAAAATCAATTTTCAAATCTGCATTTGGCAATCTTATGAAAAAAAGTAAATCAACTCCGGTTAATGAACAAAGCTCGATCAACGAGCTTTCTTTGTATCTAACATTTCCTGTTGATTATGAAGAAGGGGATGACTTTGACGTTCTTCAGTGGTGGAAGGAAAAAGAGAGAACGTTCCCGATCTTATCAAAGATGGCTAAGCAAGTGCTAGCAATGCCGGTATCAACAGTTGCTGTGGAACAAGAGTTTAGTGCGGCCGGCAACGTCCTAACGGATTATAGAACGAGATTAAGCGCAAACTCTCTTGAGACGCTTGTTTGCTTCCACGATTGGTTGAAGGCCAAACGTAGAACTCAAGAAATAAGCATTGAACCCACTCGCCACTTTATGGAAGAAACAACTGAAGATGGAGGAAATTCTAATTGATTCATACTTCATTACTTATTATAAAGTGTATTTCATGTTTTTATTTTTACTCAATTTTCAATTGTACTACAAATATCAAATAAATATGTTTTACCCTTTTTTATGTCCAAGTAATATTAATTTAATTTTGGTATCAAAAAAAAAAAAAAAAAATTAAAGCCCGGGCCCGGCCCGGCCCGGCCCGGACCCGACCGGGTCGACCCGGCACGAACCGGACCCGGTATCACCCCGGGCCGGTTCCGGGCCCAACAATCCCCAAAAAAAGCCCGCCCGGGCCCGGCCCGGAACCGGAACCGGCCCGGCCCGGGTCCATCCCTAGGTGGAATAATCAGGGCTCAAACTCACTCCATTGAGTTTCAAACATTTTTTGTGCCTAGCGAGTTTCGAATTCGAGACCTTTCACTAGGCACGGTAACCTCACAACCAGCTGGGCTGATTGTGAGGTTAACTTTCGATTGTGCATGTTATTAGTTTTGTAATTTTACAGTGGCTTGCTTTTAATAAATTATGAAAATAAACGAACGTTTCAAGTGACTTTGCACTCAGTTCAGATGCCATTTCTATTCTGCTACAGATCTAGGTGGACATTTGGACTTGGGGACAAACCATTTTTGACAGGGCTCAAACCTTTAGTAGATGTCAAAACTAGGAAAATACAAAATTTAACCATTTTGTAAAGACGTTGTCCTCTATTACATTGTCAAAACTAGGAAAATACATATTTGTGACCATTTGGTAGGATCTAACCAAACCTTTAAGTCTTCCAAAACACTAACTACGGACAATAATCTAGTTCTTCACAAAACCCAGGTACAACAGCAGTGCCACTGATGTCAGGAAACTAAAAACAATTCCACCTAATAATGTGACATCAATAGGACTCCAAACAGCTTCTTGAACTTTGGGTATCACTTGTACCTTCTCAGTCTCCTTCCCATCTAAAGGACTCTTCCTCTTCCTGAGTGACCGGCTGCCAACATTCATATCATTCTGATCTGCTTGTGTCTGGTCGTTCATTGGAAGGGTAGGTTCTGTATCACCTGGAGAGGCCTGACAACACGAGGCACTTGAAGAACAAGCACATGAATCTGGCTGTTTGGAACACACACTGTTCTCATCTAAGCTGGCGTAAGGTGGCCTTTCATCATTAAGTCTATCAATGTTGTTACGGTTAAGGACTTCCTCAATCACTTCTCCGAAAACCGACCATCTACCTACAGATGTTATCTTTACAGTAGCTGAGGATCCCTGCATGCTCTCAGGACCCACCACTAGCACTTGAATGTACCCCTTTGTGTGGCCCACCTAGATCAATGAGAATGCATATGGATGCAGAGTTTAAACCTAACTATGTTCATCGGCTAAGACTTCATTCAGGAAATTGGGTGAAGACTTTTTTGAATTTAGAGATTTTAAATGCTTTAAACTCACCATTTAAAAAAATGTCAATTTATCAACTTCCAAATTCTACAAATTAGGTCTTTTGGACTGGTTGGAGCAAATAAAATAGTTTGGGACACTTCTGCCCTAAAAATATTAAAATTTAATTACATAACCAATTCTAGAAAACGAATAAATCTTAAAGAAGAAACGAGACATGCATAAACTTAGTAACTTGTACAAAGGCCAAATATATATACTTATAAGATTATTATTAAAAAGTATTGTTATTTTTTTAAAATGATGTAAAAAGTTTCAACCGCAAACTCTTTTGGGACCAAGGATGGGATGTTGCTGTATTGATGTAGAAAGTTCTTATGCTATCTACACTTTTATAGTTTTAATGATGTCCTTGTAATAACTTAACATTTCAAACGTGCCACTACCTATTCTTTTATTTTCAAATTTACGTTTATTTCCAAAAACTGGCATTTGCATTTCGAGTGTCAAATAAGAGAACATGAAACAAGGAAAAAGTAATAAGACAGCCTGAGCCAACTAAGAACACTATGTAATCTTTTACCAGGTGAATTCCATCAGAGGCAATATCAGTTATCCATATCCTCTCAATTTTGCCTTCCATTCCAGCATATGGTGTAAATGACTCAAATACTGCAGTTAATTCACGGCTTCTGCTCTTCACAACATGACTAGCCACTTTCTTCATCCTTGCAGCAGGAGTTCCTGACATAGGTTTTTACTATATTGAAAAAAAAATGATCCAGTGGATAGCATAAAACATACTACTGATAAAACAAACTTATAATATCAAAGATAATTGCAGACCTATGGTTCAGGATATCGTTTTAACGGTTAATATCAATGCCAAACACACTTGCAGATACATACTTTTAAATTCAAAATATATGAAAATTTGGGATGTATTTTATACACAGAGAAATGTAAGACAGGACTCTCTCATCTTCTTTAGTGTTTTGTAAAAAGTAGAACTCCCACTGTCTCCTAATCTTCCTACTTTCCTTTTGAGCCAGCTAGCCCTATATCTTCCTTTTACCTTTAAAGAAAACAAATGTGTGATTCATATCCTTTCATTCCTTTTTATATAAATATCAACTGCATAATTTTAATTTTCTTACTCTACCAAGTCAAACCTAAAAGATTAAGGGCCTGTTTGTTTTGGCAGTGAGGGGAGTCCGGTGGTTTTTTGTACTAAAACATAATTCAGCTCACCGCACGTGCAGCTTCGGATAATAGTGGTGAGAAGTGGGGAATGCGCTTAGAATTGAATTCCCTAGGATGCCCTTTAACACTTCATGCAATATTTCATGCCCCGGCCATTTGCAAGCGAAAATCTGTGTCTTAATACTGTGCATATGCATAATTCATGCTCTATTTTTTTGTTTAAGCGTACAGTAATATTTTAATCTGTTCAAGTAGTACTTCTTTGTTTGTGTTGTTAAGATTTCATATTAATTTATATGCATCGTTTCTGCACCAAATTGAAAAAAATCTCTTATGTTCTCTCAAGATGTTTTACAATCGATTTGCAGTAAAAAAAAAAAATTACGTTTTTACAATTTTATTGAATTATATTTCAAGAATAAAAATAAATGTTACAGAGTATAACTTTAAAAAGTCAACATTCTATGGAGTATAACTTTTTGAAAACAAATTACCTAAAATCTTTTCAACTAAATGGTCTTTTTTCATAATAATCTCACCGTCACAACTATTTTATGAAACATCTGCAAAATTACTCTTGCAAATTTTTGACCTTACCGCTCTAAACTCGAAGTTAAAACAAACGGACCCAAATGGCAGGAATAACTGTTATCCTTATCTTGCGTACATCCGACCCCCCCACCCCACCGTAGCTGGGAGCCTTTGCGACACTGGGATAATGATAATGATGATGGCAGAAAAACCATTCAAATTGTTCATGTCATTCAGGTTTCATTCCAAAAGCGGCTTATCGTGCTTATCAGCAGAAATAAGTAGCTTTGACTTGCTTATTTGGCTGAAATGGACCTAATTCTTTTTCTTTCACAAAATTCAGCATCCATTTCAACCACACACCATAACCAAATAGCCTCACAAAGTTAGAATTATTCTAATTTGAGATGTGAGTCCAACAACATTCCCTTGTTTTTCTTATGGTGATATGAAATACAAGATGAAACTGAATACTAAAAACTTTAAATAACATATCTTTTCACATAGATATTTCTGTTTATTTTTAGTCTTGCCTTCTTACTGAGTCAACTACAATGTTAACTTTAAAACAGCAACATTGTTCAAATGAAAGAAATAAATAAACCAGCAATTAAAGTAACTTACCAGGTCTAGGATAAAACTGTGATATATGAACTTGAGCAAACTGATAATCCTTAACAAGGTTAACAGTCTGAGCAAAATCTTCATCAGTTTCACCTGACAATCCATAATGTTTCAACAAAGTACTTCAGTTCACAAAAAACATGAAATTTGAGTACACATTTAGGTAGAAAAACAATTTATCACCATGGATTTCTCATCTAAGGTGAAACCTCCAAAAAAATTGTAATTATTTGAATAAAATACAACGGTTTATGAGAATTGAATACTTCTCTATGGATGCAAATTGGATTCAACAGTCCTCTAATTATGAAATTGAGTCTATGGGATAGCCGCAATCGTACATCTCACATTTCAATTACTAATTTATTTTAGAATAAAATACCCGACTCTAGAAAGGAAAAATTGATAGTAATAATCCCAACTATTGGCGGTCCGCTCATAATAATCCCAACTATCGATTATTTCGGAACAATCCCAACTTTAGGGCCTTCCGCCAATAATGGTCCGACGTGACCGACTATAAATAAATTCCTATAGATTCTAAAGTGGATGAGAAGAGATATAGCAGGTAATCCCTATAAATAATCCCAACTTTTAATTTTTACGCTTAATTTCTATTAAAAATCACCTGTTATAGCAGGTAATATCCGGCCATGGACCATTATTGGCGGACGGTCCATATAGTTGGGATTATACAAAAATAATCAATAGTTGGGATTATTGTTAGCGGACCAGCAATAGTTGGGATTATTATTTTCAATTTTTCCCTCTAGAAAACATTGTTTGGTGAAGAATTTATAAGTAAAGTCACTTTCATACACTTGCATCACCATCTAGGAGATAACACATAGATTAATCTGTTTCGAATACAAAATTAATTGAAATAGAAAATATCTTTCAATTTCTATGGCCCCCATGAGTATGTTTGAATCCCTGAATGCAAGAGAAAGAGAAAAAAATGTCAAGTTAAATTATTATGTTTTTCTTTAGGAGAGAAATAAAAATAAAGGATTGTTTTTCATTTTTTTTTGCATATATTTAGATTTTCTTAATCTATATATAATTGAATTAAATAACTGACGTGAGTTTGAAGAAATATCTAAAATATTTCTCTTTCTTTCCCAAATTTTCTTTCTTTTCAATTTTCATCCCTATTTTCTTCCCCTAGTATTTTCCATGCTCCAGACGGAGCAACTGTAAAGTAGAAAGCAGAAAAAATGCCATGAAAAAAAGAACAGTAAAATTTGGTTACAGACCAGGAAATCCACAAATTATATCAGTGGCAATCTGCATTCCAGGTACTAGTTCAGTCAATGTATCCACCACCATCCTGAAGTCTGCTACAGTGTACTCACGATTCATTGCCTGGAAAACAATAAATAATAAATTTAAAGGGCCATGTGAAGAAATCTATGGCAAATGCCATAGAAAGAGGACAAAGAGAGAGGAGCAATGAAGAGAAAATAAAATTTCCACTCTTGGTCCCATCCCCAGAGTCCCGACTATTAGGTCATTCTCTCTTTTGTTCTTTAAATTTCATTATTTCCCCCATATGGTGTATCACTGTACTCCTTTCCCACATTTGGTCCTTCAGAAATTTATCCGGCCATATCCCGTACACTTTCCAAGGTATTTCCACCGAATGAGTTGTCAAAACTAAAAAAAATGTGGCAAAAAAACAGATGTGCCAGTAATGGAAAAGGTGAAAGCCATGGACCAAAAGTGGGAATAAACTAATAATAGCGTGACCAGATATGGAAAGTTTTCTTTAAAAAAATCCCAATACAACTTTGATGGAAACAATTCACACAACCCATACTTACACTCAAGATGGAATCACTTCCAGACTGAACAGGTACATGAAGAAAAGAGTAAACGCATGGGTGGCGTAGAACGTCGGCTATTTCCTTCAAGTGTTCAAGGATATATGGAGGATTAGTCATCCCAATCCGAAGCATTGTACTTCCATCTGGGGGAAGTCTTTCAACAATAGCGTTTAACAAAATCGGAAGATTAACTCCAATATCACGACCTGCAAAATGGTCAGAAATAGTAAATCAAAACGTTTCATATCAATTACTTTGCCTACTTAGGGATGAAAAAAACAAGTGTGACCCACTGGAACTTGTTCCTCTCCATACAGGAGAAGATATGATGCCAAGTGATGAGATTATTTTTCATTTTTCAAAGTTTGAACTTTTAAAAATGGAATTTATATATTCCAATGGTGACAATCTTGACAAGTATAACATTTTTCATTCTCAAAAGAAACTTCTTACTCACCTTTATTTCCTATTTCTCTAATATCAAACAATACTAATATCCCAACCTATTTCTTATCTTTTAGTCTCTTCTGGTTTCTCTCTCTCGATTCTTTCTCACCCAAAGCTAACAAACCATAAATTCTGTTCTTTGTTTTCAAGGCTATTGGCCCGTCTATCTACGATGAACATGTATATACATAGAGACACGCTTTTGTTGGTGAATTACTGATATGAAGCGGGAAGAGCATGGGGCGGGACTGGGCTTGGGCCCACTTCCGTGGGCCGGTTATGGGCGGGATTATCCATGGGCTGAGTTTATAATTTAATTAGCTTCAATTATGTTAGTTCTTTTATTATTGCTATTTATTTTATTAGATTTTCCTTAGGCTTTGTACGTAAGTAATTTCCCTCCCATTAGACTTTGTGCGCAGGTCTAATTCCCATTGGATAAGCTACGTACAATTATTTCCTTCCCCTTCAAGGTAGTCAAAGTCGTGAGGCGCACTCAACTGACTCAAGGCGATGGGGTATTCCCAGCGCCTGAGGCGCAAGGCGCAAAAATGCGCTCGCCTGACTCGGGTGAAGCGCACTACTTAGATAAAATCACATATACTATTCTATAATCACCAAATATGATGTATGTAACATCACATTGAACCAAATGCATAACAAGCTAGGATGCATCAAAATAAAGTCATGATTCACAAAAATTAGGATCTTTTTTGTTAGCCAAGTAGTTGGGTTTCCAAGTTGGGTCTTTTTTGTAGAGTTTTCACTTTCAGCACCACCTGTAGCACTTGTTCCACCTTCAATATCCTGGAAAAGCACAAAGCTGGAATTATTTAATAATTAATACACTGGAAAACATCTTTGGAAAACCACAAAGTAGAGTACATATATAATATATTTATTGGCCAAACACTCAAATATTGCTGCCCAATAATGGAAAAACATAAACCTGTTTTCCATCTGTGTTTGTCATCTTGTGTGTTGTAAAAGGTGGTTATAAACTTTGAACAGCCATGTTTTACTCTAGTTGGGTCAAATAGAGTAATATCTTTAATCTTTATAAAACACAAGAGTGACAGAACTGAGTAATGTATTTAAAGTTAAGAACTTAATATACTCTGAAAGATTACAGAGTAATATCTTTATAAAACCACAAAGCAGAGTACATATGAGTATTATATACATACTAATATACTAATATGTAGTATTATTACTTTATTACCCATTTACGCTAATATTTAGACACTAGCGTAATATGAGTATTTGGATGAAGAGGACTGCATGAAAAAGAAAACATACCTTGTTTAGTGCTGAGAGGGAGAGCTGAGTTTGCTTGAGATGATGATGAAAGCTTAAAGGGCTGGTGTAGAGCAGCTTCAGTGTCGAGTGAGGATGGCTAGCGATGATACCAGTAGTGTCTTGCGCAAGTTTTACGCGTTTACTTACATAGACTTTCAGTTTTACGTAGGTTTTACTGTTTTTACCCAAATGTTTTCATGGGCTTAGTATTATTAAAGATATGGGCTAATTGTATTTGAAAGTTTCAAACAAAAAAAAGGCCGTCAGCCCTTTTCCAGCTCAGGCGACCAAGGCGCGCGACTTGCAGCGCTTCAGCGCTTGGTGCGCTTCATGCGCCTATGCTGCGCTTTACCCAGGTACGCGCGCTTCACCTATTTCCAAGCGCTGGGGGGTATGCTCGCTGCGCCTTGTGCGCTTAAGCGCTGAGGCGAGCGCTTTTGACAACCTTGTTCCCCTTAGTCTTTGTTTTCCACTAGGATAGGCTACATACATTTAATTAGCTTATTTAGTTTCCTACTGCCCTACTGGAAGGTGGAGATATGCAGTATTATTTATAACCCACGGAGGGCTATTCAATAGATCATCAATAAAATTCAGATTTGGTTAAGCTAAAGTAGCTTGGGCAACGGATTCTTCCGTTGATTATTCTGGGCAACGGTTCACCCCGTTGATTGTTATTTTTCTGTTCTTATCAATTACAAACAGTTACAGATTTAAATCCCCCCGCCCCAAAAAAAAACTTGGCACAGCTGTATAGTTTGGAAGAATTGCCTGCATTTAAGGATTTTTTGGCTGGGGAACTTTGGAGGAATGGGGAGGGAAGGATTGATTTTTTTTACCAGTTTATCTCTATTTCCTAGTCTAGGACTACAAAATAACTAATGTTTAGTCAAGTCTTGTAGTTCTATATAATTTTTCATCTTCACTTTCTTTCCAAACATCAAAATGTATATATATATATATATATATATATATATATATATATTTATATATATTAACAAAATACATATTTCCAGCTGATATCCCCCCTCCCTCCCCTCTCCTGAAATCCCCTAAATGAAAAAGGGCCAATAAAGTATGATATAGGTAGACAGCTGATACCATATGCTCCAGTGTCTTCACTACTCAACCATATTTCCTTCACTCCATCAGCAACAACACTTTTGACCCGCCCCACCTAAAATGTAATGCACTTCGTGAAAGCTCTAAAAGGTCCACAATGACTATAAATATTATATGCAATGGAAATGCTTAATCAAACTCACAAGGCTATCAACGGTGTAGCTTCCTAAATGACCACGAGCATGTTTTGTCTTGCAATAAGTGCACGCACCTAAACATCCAACATTTATTGGAAGAATCTCAATGAACTCGTTCTTCCTCACCTGTTGTGTAGTTCATGCATGTTGAAATTTAATAGTAAATTAAAATAATGTATATTACATATTTTTGAACCTATAGCATGGTGCCATGGTGCAATATGCATTTAAAAATACTGGAAAAAGATAAGCTTTACGGTTCATCATCATCATTACCCCAGTTCAAGAAAATAAATTATATTTCAATGATAAAATGCAAAATCAAAACATTTTGACTTGTTGGATGAAAAACAACATCCAAGATCATGAATGCAAAAAACTAGAAAAATGAATAAACGTCTGTTTAGTAGTACATGTCGGCTTGAGGCTAGTAATTCTATACTTATTGGGCTAAAATGGATGTTCCTAAACGTTGTTACTTTAAAAAATTTCAGCAATCAAACACCCCAAACCAAACTGAACCTAAAATATATACATGATGGGGATTATTCAATCTCAGACCTTTGGAAGGTCAAGTGCTGGTAATGTTTTACGGGTTAGAAGCCGGACTTCATGACCTTTCAAAGTCTCTTCCACAACTTCAACCACACGGTCAATCTGTTGAACCCCAACTATACTAATTCCTTGTAACTCCTTCAAATTGCGGCTTCCCTGAGGAACACATCCTGCAACAACCAGGGGCTTTTTTGCATTTCTTCCTTTAGTTAAAAGAGTGTCCATGGAAGACTGACTAGGAGATTTAACCGTACAGCTGCATTACACATGAGAGTGAATGGACTGAAATGTGAACTTTTAAAACCCATAATAAATTTCAACAAGTTAATATTTATGCTCTCACCAGGAATCCAGAATCTTTATACACAACTACAAAGCCAAAAAGAAAATACTCATACGTGTTTATTAGCCACAGGTCTGCTTCATCCGGAACATCAGTCAAAGCATAACCAAATGCCGAAAGCTGACCAGCCATGTATTCTGAGTCACTCTGTTAGAAAAAGAGTTACAAAGTAGAAACAGAAACATTACTGCAAATAGGAGTAAAAATTGAGTCATATGTATAGAGAGAATACGTACTGCAAATATGTACATAAAAAAATCGGATGAAATAAAAAAATCTACGAAATTTCATGAATCAGGATCCGAACATTTGAATAAGATACAGCATTTACAGTCTAAGTTTATCAAGTTCAAAGTCTGAATTATAAAATGTGACAATAAGCATACATAGACCCTCTTTTCCAATCCCATTGTCACGTGCAAGCTCAAAAAATGGAGTGCATTCCACTATGCTTGTAAGTGCAAACATTTTGATTTTTAGGATGAAATACAAAGTTCATGCTAAACTTTCAAAAATTAGGATAAAAATTGAACGAACGTCTTTGTAGTTTGTGTTTATCTGACACAAGAAGAAAATGTGTACCTGATTATGCGAACAGCCAAATGTCTTTATGTAAATTGTCTGCAATACACGCACACAAAGATAATATACGCATGCCAATCAGTCGCATTGAAGTAGTATTGGTAATTGTAACCTCAAAAGTGTAGGGATAGTGGGAGGACCTGAGTGCCAGGGATTTTGGGGGTCGACTTCCGGAGACCACTCATCTTTCTCTGCTTCGGATTTAGACCAACGACAGCCCCTGTCAACGGCAGCCGGAAACCTGGCGGTGTTCCTCCGCTACTTCCCACGAGCAAATCTTCTATGTCTTCCATCTCTCCTCAAGATTCCGAGATGGAGGCTCAGTATTTCCTTGCTCTTTGCAGTGCTAAATACTGATTTTATGATCTGAGCTTTTCCAGTGCTGTTTTATGAGCAATCCCAATTGTTCGTATATACCGAGTTAACTATGCAATAGAATTGTTGGACAAATATACTCCGTACCTCGTAACTATGCAAGTGTTTTACTCCATAATTCATAACTAGAGGTAGGGCTGAGCAAAACCCGATCCGACCCGAAAAATCTGATATTTTTTTCGGATATTATCCGAACCGGAGTGGATATCCGACCCGAAAAACCCGAAACCAAAAATCCGATTAGTATTGGGCCTAGACCGGGTGGCGGGTAGGGTTTGTGAAATCCCAACCCGACCCGCCCGAATATCCGAAATATATGTTAGTGTGTACTTTGAATATTTAAATTAATACTTGTGTTCAATTATTTGTGTAATTATTTGTGCAATTTGTATTAAATTATTTGTGTAAATTGAATGTGTAGTGAACTAGTGTGTACAATTTTTGTTAAAGTGGCATTCCAACATTTTAACTATCCAATTATAATGTGTTTGATATAACCAAAATATCCGAAATATATTAAATTATGTAGTGTGTACTTTGAATATGTTAAATTAATACTTGTGTTCAATTATTTGTGCAATTTGTGTTAAATTATTTATGTAATTTGGAAGTTTAGTGCACTAGTGTGTACAATTTTTGTCAAAGTGGCATTTAAACACTTTAATTATCCAATTATAATTTTTTTAATATAACCGAAATATCTGAAACCCGACCCGATATCCGATAATATCCGACTTAAAAATATCCGAAATACCCGATTTGAAATATCAAAGGGTCGGGCCTAGTATTTAAATTAAAAAAACCGAACGTATTTAGGGTTCGCAAACCCGACCCGCCCGACCCCGACCCGTGCACACCCCTAACTAGAGGAAATACCCGTGTGCTATGCACGGGATATATCTAGAGTGGAGAACAGGGGCTGTTTGAAAAATGGTCTTTCAGCTAAAAAAAAATGACAGTTTGACCCCTTTTAGGCCGGTTTTCAATAAGTGAAAACGTTGTTGATGGACAGTCTACCCGGGGGGTATCTTATCCGAGGGGTTATTGCGGGAATAACTAGAGAGAAGTCAGAGTAAATAGGAGGAGAGAGAGTCGATTTTATTAAATGAACTCAGCGTCCTTTACAAGGAGAATAAGGGCTGCTATTTATAACAGCAATAAATGCGACGAGAGTACACGTGTCAGTAATCCAACGGCCGAAGGGTCACATCAATCGGGTGGCACTGGCAGCGGCACGTTCACCGCATTGAATGCGGTTGGTGGATGTGACGTCGCATTAAATGCGGTGGTTGGCTGTCTCCAAAAGGAATCTTCGATGATCGAGCATGTTTGGCCGAAGGCTCCTTGTGTAGCCGAGGGCTCCATGTGACCAAGGACCCTGTGTAGCCGAAGGCCTTGTGTGACCGAAGGCTTGGTTCAGCCGAAGGCTTCTCTGATGCCGAGGGTTTGATAATGCCGAAGGCTCATGTTTTTCGCCGTTTTCTCTCAGTAGCTTCTTATGCCAGAGAAGGCTATCCTGTGAGTTTTGGAGCCTTCGGCCAAGGCGGCCGAAGGCACCCTAGTGTGTATTCTGGGCTACTTCGAGGCTTGGGCCGTTGCATTTGGGCCTGAGTTGTTCTCTGGGCTCAATGGACTTGTGTAGGAGAAGTAGGAGTCTATGGGCCGGGGGTTCCAGGGCCATATACTCCATCAGTTGTTTAGTATATATTTGTCCAGTCTAACCTGTTTGAACGAAAATACTAAAATGAAAACGCTACAAATATGAGAGTTTTGGATTAACATTTTGAAATATTACGTTTTCTACTAATTGTTATGGTCAAAATACTAAATTACCAAACATCTTTTGGCAACCGGCCAACTTATTCCGCTAACCAAACTCGCTAACTGAATCCGCTATTAAAAAGCCGCTAACATAACCACTAAATGCCAAACACACCCATAACATGTTTAAAATTACATTCTATGGTGGAGTATAATGGTACGCAATGAGCAATTTTTTTAAATAGAAAAGAGAAAAAGGTTAAATAGTTTCTTCTACTATTTTCATTTTATCACTTAAATTCCTTATACTAAAAACATATCGTATAAGTATGTTTACTTTTAAAAATTTGATCAATATGACCTTTCAATCAATTTTTGACATGTAATAGCATGTTTTTTATATTATTTTTTTTTAAAAATAAGTAAATTTGAAGAACGATATATAAAAGTTGTGGAGAATTTAGGAATGTCAAAGTCGAAACTATTCATATATTCTACATTTTCGAGTTACTAAAGTTTAATTTATGTTTTTACACTTTCACTTTATCTTTTTTCTTTTCTTCTATTTGTATGAGGTAATAAAAATGACTATATGAGGCAAGTAAAAAATGTTCTAAATATTTTGTAATTGCTATTGAGGAAATAAATACTCATAAATATTACAGCTTTGCTATAGGTACCCCAAAATGGGGTACCCCATTTGCCCCCACCCTAATGGGTGGCCATAAATGAGCCAACCCATTTAAGTGGTGTCCCACATAAATGAGTTGCCTCATTTATGGCCACCCATTAGGGTGGGGACAAATGGGGGTACCCCATTTTTGGGTACCTTTAGCTTTTTTCTAAATACGTAGTATTACGGAGTAATATACTTTCGTTCTATTTTATGAGAGAGACTTTGTTTTTAAGGTTATCCAAAATATAGGGATACTTTCCCAAATTAAACTCCACATACTATTTATATTTCCACATTACCACTTTATTTATCGGCTAAAGGGTCAAATAGGTACATGAACTAACTTAAAGTGTTCAATTAGCCCCTTATATAGGAGGTTCTGCCCGGCCGTCGCCAATTGGGGCGGTTCCCAGTGGAATTTTTTGATGAATTTTTTTGAGCAACTTCTTCATTAAGTCTAGTTTACTCATACCAAATTTCAGCTAAAAATTCAACCGGGAAGATAGTCAAATGATTTTTTGAAGATAACTGCGCAGTTAAACAGCGCAGTACATTTCGGAAAATCAATTGACTGCCTTCCCGATTTAATTTTTAGCTGAAATTTGATATGGGTAAACTAGACTTAATGAAGAAGTTGCTCAAAAAAATTCATCAAAAAATTCAACCGGGAACTGCCCCAATTGGCGACGGCCGGGTAGAACCTCCTATATAAGGGGCTAATTGAACACTTTAAGTTAGTTCATGTACCTATTTGACCCTTTAGCCTTATTTATCATTTACGTTTTGGTCTATGTGGAACCAAATTGGTTGGAGTTTAGAATTCTGTAATTTGCTGGTCTGGTCTGAACTGACTTGGTCTGATAATGTCTGTTTTTTTTTTTTGTATTTTTATAAGTATCCAAGTCTGGTCAGGTTTGTTCTAGTCTGGTCTGGGATAGATTAGAGTCCAAGTAAAAACATCCTAAATAACGGCTCTATCCTTTATTTTCTTAAAACCCACGCCAAACCCGCACAAACCATTTTACTTATTTATTACTACGTATTATTTGAAATAAAAACAATTGATTTATTAGAAAATGCATGAGTAATTACCTTTTTATTTATAAATAGCGATGTTTGTGATATTTTAAAAATCAGAATAAATGTGAATTGTGATGAGTAATTGCTATTGTGGGATGAGAAATGAATTTCTATTTTGGACATAAAATTGACTTACAACTATATTAAAAATTTGTGTGAAGATTTTTTTTTAGTTTCAAATAATACTTTCTTTCAATTAGTCCACAAAATGTTCCATTAATGAACAAATTTTTCAAGAAACTCATACCGGAGTATAGATTTAAAGAGACACAATTTAAATTTATATCCTTCGTTTGGAGCAATTTTGCCTCCAAAACTTGTAACAACTTTGCTACTTGATACTCCCTATGTCTCATTCAAAATTTCTGACTTTTCTTTTTGGGACGTCCCGTTTAAAGGTTCTAATTTCTATACACTTAGTACTCTTAAATGACAATTTGATCATCAAGTATTAAAAATAATGCATGTATAACATCACAATTATCATCAATGACCCCGTTATATTACTTCTCAAAATGTACTCACATTACTATATCTAGTTATTGTCTAAATAACCGTACTGTTTTGCAATGTGAACCTTTGAACGGCACGGAGCCACGGAGGTAGTATATTATTAGAATACCGAGTAATACATAAAGATAAAGATAATATAAAGATAGGCTAAAGAGTCAAATAGGTACATGAACTAACTTAAAGTGTTCAATTAGCCCCTTATATAGTAGATTATGCCCGGCCGTTGCCAATTGGGGCGGTTCCTGGTGGAATTTTTTGATGAAATTTTTTGAGCATCTTCTTCATTAAATCTAGTTTACCCATACCAAATTTCACCTAAAAATTCAACCGGGAAAACAGTCAAATCATTTTTTGAAGATAACTCCGCAGTTAAACAACGCAGTACATTTCGGAAAATCATTTGAATGCCTTCCCGGTTTAATATTTAGCTAAAATTTGATATGGGTAAACTAGACTTAATGAAGAAGATGCTCAAAAAATTTTATCAAAAAATTCAACCGGGAAACGCTCCAATTGGCGACGGCCGGGCAGAACCTCCTATATAAGGGGCTAATTGAACACTTTAAATTAGTTAATGTATCTATTTGACCCTTTAGCCTATAAAGATATAAAAATATTTTATATGCGTTTTATTTGAGCTTATTAATTAATACATGCTATAATTACAAAATATTTCTCCACACATCCCGCTAAGATTGTCCCAGTTTTTCTTTTCGAGAAATCCCGCTAAAATTGTCCGATATCAAATTTGATAAAGTTTTTTGGCTCTAAATCTTTTTTACTTTATTCTTATTTTATCAATTCAACATCAACTACATAAACTTACTTTTCTAATAACCGTATCATTCCCTAATGTCCCAATTTTAGTGGGATTGAAGTAGTAACATCAATACTTTACATAGTACTCCGTAGATGATACTACTATTAGAATGTGAATGTGAATGTGAATTACATTAGAATTCATACATTAGTACTTCGTATTAATTAAAAAAAAAGGAATATGGAGAAGTA